CCCTTAGTGAAGCCATGCTGGCTGTCACCAAGCACCTTCTTGTTTTTCATGTGCCTTAGCATGCCTTCCAGGAGAATCTGCTCTAAGATTTTACCAGGCACAGAGGTGAGACTGACTGGTCTGTAATTCTCTGGGTAATTCATTTTCCCCTTCTTGAAAATGGGTTTCCCTTTTTCCCTCTGACTGCCATGATTTTTCAAATATGATGGACAGTGGCTTTGCAACTTCATTCACCTGCTCCTTCAGGACCCGTGGATGGATTTCATCAGGTCCCATGGACTTGTGTACATTCAGGTTTTTAAGATGCTCTCAAACCCAAGGTCTTCATTCTCACAGTCCCTGCGTTTGCCTTCCTAGAATTGGGTGGTGCAGTCAGAGCCTTTGCCAGTGAAGACCGAGGCAAAGAAGTCATTCAGAACCTCAGCCTTTTCCAAATCCTGTGTAGCCAGTTCTCCTGAGAGCTTCCTGAGGGGTCTGCATTGTCCCTAGTCTGTTTTTTATTCACTACGTGACTATAGAATCCCTTCCTGTTATCCTTAACATCCCTAGCCAAGTTTAATTCTAAATGGGCCTTAGCTTTCCTAACCTGGTCCCTAGCTTCCCAGACAACATCCCTGTATTCTTCCCAGGCTGCCTGTCCTCGCTTCCACCTTTTATAAGCTTCTTTTTTCCTTTGAATTTTTCTCAGCATCTCCTTATCCATCCAAGGAGGTCTCCTGGCCCTCCTGCTGCACTTCCTTCTAGTTCGGATGAAAACATCGTATGAAACATCCTCAGAGCATCTGACTCTGGATAGATTTTTTTTATGTGAAAAGTTTGTTCAACAAAAGAGATTGGTTTGGATAAAGTTGAATTAACTAAAGAGTTTGGCTGAGAAATGTTTTTTAAAACTAACATTTAATTTCAGTGGTTTTCAATTATGTTAATACTTCCAGATATTGAGCTGAATTTAATAAAATACATTAAAATAGTAAAATATTTTTTGATCAAAACAGAAGCTTTTTTTTTTTTTCCTGTTTTCCTGATGAAACTAGGAGGCTTTATTGTGGAGTTTTCTTTGCCTCTATATATTTCCTCCCCACACCTAGGCTAGAACACCCAGAACAGGAACATAGATATCACGGCAGGATGTTGAACTTCCTGCCTGTGGGCATCCACACTTTTCAAGAGTAGGGATTCTGAGAATGTGTATGAATGTTTGTGTTATTTAATTTCATTTTTATTACTTTATTTTGCAGTGCTTTACAGGTCAGGAAATAAAAGGTAAGGCATAATCAGCAAACAGAATCTTACTGGCTCTTTGGAGGAAGTAAGAGAAGCCACAAAAGAGAAGGGCACAAAACCAAAATAATTTCGCAGCTGCATCTGGATGCACCTAAGAAAAGAGACAGTGTGGCCAAGATTCACATAGGAAGAGAGTTGCAGGGAATAAGGCAAAAACCAGCTGATCATTTTGGCATTGCAGGGAATGAGGCAAAAAAATTAACACAAGTGGGGATCATTTTGGCAATAAAGCTTAGGAGGAAAAATTTTTGAGAGACGGTGTTAAAGAATGAGGGTGAGAATTAGCTAAGGCCTAGCTGTAAAAAGAAATGGAGAAAGTGGAGTCATAGCTGATTAAGAGGTTACCAACCAAGGTCAGGAAAAGGACAGCAGGAGTTAAGCTGAGAGAGAGCAAGGGTGGGAGAGCAGGAGATGAGCAAACAAGTACTGGATTGGTGGGGGTCAGAGTGGGTGCAATGGGATTTTGGGTTGCAGCTGAGTGGAAAAAGAGTAATTTGAAGAAGGAACTAGTAAAGAAGATTAAGATATAAATCTGGACCCTTCAGCGATCTGAACAAGATGTAAAACAAAGAGAAATCAGTTCAAAGAAGTAGAGAAACATGGGAGGCACAGAAACACATAGTGGGGTAGCAGGCAGCTGCTCCAGCAACAAAGTGAGCCACAAAAGCGTAATGGAAATGCATTAAAAATAAGTACTTATTTCCTTAATTTTATTTTCTATTAAATGGAGAAAGGGCTCTCAGTATTTTTCTGTTTCATTTTGCAACTATTTCTTTTTTTTTTTTTTTTTTGGTCCAGATAAATATCCTAAAAACACTGAAAACAGAAAATACACTGAGGAGCTTTCATTTGGTGGAAGTTACCTGTTTAAGTGTATGCTGAATGTGAGGAAGAAGGTGGCTTTTTGTCAGGCTTGTCCTGCACAAAATTCTCATGCATACCAACCCTGCATAAGTCTATGTCAATATTTAAAATATTTGGATCACTGCTATGAATGTTACTGTAATGATAAGTATAGAGAAAGTTGTTTGAAGGTCTTTTCAGAACTCATCTGTAAGCATGAGGTGTTGTATGTAGCTTGGCTGCAAGTCCTGTTTCAGGTAAGAAGGAAGAATGCAAAAAGGTACCCACTGGAAGCTAAAATTTTGTACTGAGCACTTTCCAGGAGATTAAAATGAAAGCACAAACTCAATCACTAAATATAATTGATCATACATCTGGTTTACATTTTGAAAAAATATGCTTTTTTATTTTTTTTTTTTCCATGCAGATATATTTATGGTAGACAGGAAGGGGAAGTACCTACTAGAAACTGTCAGGGGTTCACCAAAAAATGGGGGAGGGGTGCTTAAGTACAAACATCTATAAATTCATTGGGAGTAACTCTAAATTGGTGGTGTTTTTTAATCCATAAGGCACATTATGCTGTCAGACTCCTAATAGTGTTTACAGAAAACTAGCCTAGAAGCAAACAATTATGCTAGGTAACAAAAAGAAGATTTCCTAATATATTGGTTAATTATTACAGAAAATATCAGGCATTAAAAAGTACCCTGATATTTGCAAGTTTCTTCTCAATACCAAGGTTGTATTCCCCAGATACAAGATCAGCCATCCTGCACTTGCCTCCTGGTGAACCTAGGAGTGATTCCTTCAGAGGTAATGGAGTTTGACTCTTGAAATCGGCTTAAAATGAAATGTAACTGAAAACTCTTTCTGTGGCTTGAGGTTTAAGTTTGTATTGCTGTTATGTTTATTTGTTTATGTTTTGTATGTGGTTAATTTTGTTTATTTGTTTATGTTTTGTATATGTTTTGTATATGTTTAATGTTGAAAAAATACAAACAATTATGGTCCCAGCTTCCAAAAGAGCACAGTGTTTAACGGCTTGACTCTGTGGACATGCATGCATCTGTTTTATTATTTGTTCTACTACCTTAAGCCCATATCCTACACGTTAACACAGCTTTTGCAACACTGTCATGTATATTTATCTTTGGGTCAGGCAATTACTGTTAGAAGTAATGCAGATGACAGCTAAGTGATTTACAATTACATAGCCCACTGCTTGATTTTACAGCTATGCCTTGATGCACCATGCAATCTGTGTACCCAGTAAATAGGTTTTCTTTCAGATCTCTTTTCGGCAAGACTGAGCAAAGGCTGAGGCATGTCCGTGTTTTGTTTTGACATCTCGCATCCAAGACAATATTCTTCAATTGACAATGCAGGTTGTTGTGATAGCCTTTAGGCATGATGCCACTAATGATGTCCAAGCATAGTAACTACGGAAAGCAAACTCTGAAACATCTCTGTGGGTAAGCAGATTAAGGAAACAGAGATTGGAGGAAGTTGTTACTGTAACGGTTCGTGATATCCGAAACATTTGTTTTAGCGCAATTAAGATAAGCTAGCAGCAATAAAATTAATGATCCTGTGGTAATCTAATGAGAAAAAGTGTGAGAAGACATAACCAATAAAAAATGGAAATTGCATGTTTTCTGAAGAGTACATAATGACTTCCAGATTGTGCATGCTCTAGTTTTCTGTATATTTATTAGCAGAATACATTAATAGACCACCACTATGAAATGCTGTAGTTTATTCTTCTTGTAACCTTTATATTTGTGGAAGGCAGGCTGCAGTTTTCAGTCTGGGGCATGCTTCACTGTCATTTTCTACCCGTCCTCTTTGCTACAGACAGACAAATATATAAACAAATTTCTACATAGCAAAAAGAAAAGAAAGTTAGAAATTCTAACCTGTCCCATTAATCTATAACTATATTAAACACCAATTTGGCAGCGTACCACAGTTCACGCATAGCGTCAGTTCCCATTCAAGTTGTATGTGTGGTACTTAAAACAGCTGGACTGTATTTGTGTCTACACAAGAAAACGGACCTGACGAGTTGCTGTGGCATAATTTAATAGCGAAACTGGTGCTGTGATAACCTCTCCCCTCTCTGAGCAGACTTCCTGCGCTTGAGAAAAAGTTATCACTTCTGTGTAATTAATGAAAGTTAGCTATTTACCAGTGTAAGTACATCAGAATAAATACATGTAAGTAACACAGTTCTGTCAGATTTACTAGTCTGGAGGAGGAAAGTTTTAAACAGCAGAGGAAAACCCAAACAATTTTTTAAATGGCTGTGTTGTGAAACACAATTGTCTTGGTATTTGTAAGTTTATTTTACAAGACGTACACAGTATTGTGTATTGACGTTGAGATGAATTAATATCCTTTATTCAGGTGGGTATTTGTGATTATGCTGTCACAGTAGCTTGTCCAACGCACGCCAGGGCTTGCTTGCTCTGACTGGGTATCACATGATTTAGAGACACACATAAACAGGTGAGTCCTGAGAAGTACTTTTTGCTCTCTCGTAGCATTTTTAACTCAGTCAGAAGCCTGTGTGAAGGTTGGGGGTTTATTTCAGAAATGAATACAGAGGAACCATCCCCACTCGCACCCCTACTGCACAGGTGGAGCAGCTACATGGACGACATGGAGCGGGAGCACCCGGGAATGCTGGGTTGTGATTGGTCTGTTTTCCCGCGGCGCCAGGTGATTGGTGCTTGCTGCTGCCCTTCTGGAAGGTTCGGCGTAGGAACTGATGGGAGGGGGGGTGCAGGTGAGGGTTATGTGGAATCTGGGATAACGTTGGGGTCATTCAGCACGGGTTAGCTCCCTGCTCGTCTGGGTTGTCTGTGCACAGCTTTGTGCTTACTGTGGAGAGTGCAGGTGCAGGCAGCCACAAGAGCCTACCTGCAGCATGGCTGCCTGGTGCCTCATCTAGAAGCACCTTTGGTTCAGGCTGTGTGTTGCTTGAGAACTGAGGTGGATCACCCAGTGTCATCAGCTGGATTTGGTTTTGCAAGTGAGTTGTTACAGAAAGTAGATGAGCTCTGAGGGCTGTTACTCCTCTTCAGGTAATCAAAATTCTGGTGGTGACTACCTCTGTTGGCTTTGTTCTGCTGAGGAAAATAGTGGATAACACTGTCCTGCAGCACTGTGGAAACTGGTATTTCAGTAATAGCTTAAAATGCACAGGGTTTTGTGTCAGAATAACAGGGTGACTGCTTTTCTGCAGGAATATATTCTTATTTTATCCATTAACCTCAATTCTTGAAGTGCTTGTCAATTACAGAAGAGTGATGTAATTATTTTGTGTAAGAAGTTATGCAATGTATAGATGGCATTCTTGTACCTCAGGGTAAGAGAACTTGGGACACTACTATGAAATTTACATCCAGCTTTCCATGAAGCATAAGACTTGTGACCAGGGAAATGAGTGGGACTGTAACAACACAGGCTCCATCTTTCGTGTCTCAAAATAATTGAGTCTGTGCAGACAGTCTTACCCTGAGCAGTAAAAATGTTTTCATCCATAGCTGTTTCCCATGCCTTTCTGCAGGTGGTTACTCTGCCTAAAACATCATTGGGCTTCAGCTGGTATTACTGTGTGCTGAATCTGCAACAGAGGAAAGTAGCCAAATACTGCTACATCTGTCCTGTTAAAAAAATAATTTTGCTTTAAATTATATTATTAAAACTGCCTTAGGAGCAAGAGCATGGAGAAGAGCCTCACTAAGAGTTGAAGGGCTGCTGCTGCGTTTGCTAGGTGACAGTCTTTTTGTTACCAGATGGTACTGGAGAAAGAACTTTTAGGAAGGGATCCTCATTGAAGAAAGGCGTTTGGATGCCTGTCTTCTCCTGATCTGCATGTTTGCTTATTTTGCTTGTTGGCCAACTCAGGAGTGAGTATTTATCTGTCATTCAAAATAATTCTGTAATACAGTATTAGCTCTTTTCTTTCTGCAGAAAAAGTGTTTAACGTAAACACATGACCAGCAACAGTAATGTAGAAGGATTGAGCTTTCTTGCTTGTGGTTCCTAATTATTTTGGAAAGTAGGAACTCTGGGAAATACCTGACTCTTCCCAGTTACTGTGAGAAATTCTGTCTTTTTAGGATAAGGTGCATGTGTCTGCATGGCTGTGCTTTTTTTCCTAGAGATTATGGCTGCATGTAGTACAAAAGGTGTAGAGTAATGTCATGCAGTACTTAGTCGAACTTGCATCCCTGGATTTGCCAGTTTAGTGTAACTTTTCCTTCTATTTAGCTTTTTTGCTGTTCTCTTCATTTTTTACATTAATCTTCTGAGGTACTCCACAAAGAAATATGTGAAATTAGGCTATTACAGTGAATTACAGTGGAAGTTGAAGAAAATATTGGAAGTGTTTCAGGGAGAGCAACATTAAGTAAAAGAAATACCCTTATTTGCTGTGAGAATTCAGAATAAATGGAATGGAGAGGCTGTCTATCTAAATCCCTCATTAGGAATTGTTCACTTCCATCTACAACAGAGCATGCCTGAAGAACCGTGTGCTGCTTACTAGGTGTGAATATAAGCAGTTTGGGAAAGAGGCTAGTTGTTAGCAATTAACAGTGGTGGTTGTATGTTTTGCTCTCAGATTCAACAAGCTGAGAGGTAGACAAGATAATATGAAAATGTGCATTCTGTTTGCCAGCTAAAAGTGCTCAGAGCTATTACGTATGGCCTTATTGCTACTGTGTGAAGTCTGGGCTTTGATTTCTTCAGTCTGTTGTACTAACAGTAGTATTGTTATGATGAAAAAGACCTTGTAGGACTTGAAAGATGATGACATAGTTATAATTCTGTTGGAAATCATGTTATATTTACAATATCATACTACATTTACTGCTTCTACTTCAGTGTGCAATATTTGATGATTTTAAAGAAGCTATCTATTTACATTTTTTAAATTTTTTTTTCTTGGGTGGACACAAGAAATTTACATGCTGTACTTTTCTTACCAGTTCCAAAGCTAGCTGTACTCTCAACCTCACCACAAATTATGTACGTCTCCTCCTGCAGTCTAGTTTACTGAGTGGTTTTCCACCGTCAAAAAATATATATAAGGACTATATGAAAAAAAGCAGACTCCAGATACAGTAGATTAGGTTGCAGAGACATAATAACTTCTCCATAAGGTCCGAACTGTTTGACTGATCTCATAAGGAGTTTTTGTAAATGAGGCCTTTCACAGAATCGTGGTTGGGCATGAAGCTGAGTGAGGCTGAGATCAGGCTTACGTTAGGCTGCTGATTAAAAGGGAAAGCTTATTGCAACATGCTGTTCATTATCTGGTGGTTGTTTGATCAAGTATCTCACAGTTGCAGAATGGAAAGGAAAGCACTATCATGAATTTGCCAGTCATGAAGACAACCAAATTGATCATCATTTGTGCTGTGTACTCTTCTTGTGATTCTCTAGTATTAGGTACTGAACAGAGGAGAAACAACTAAGATGTAAAGAGGAAGATAAATTCTTGTTCTGGAGAGTTTTGCTTTGAAATTGTTCTGGAGAGTTTTGGTTTGGTTTAAGTTGCTATGTGCTAGCACAGTGTTGTGATGTTTGTACTGTAGATGCTGCAGGAGAATATTAAAAGAGAAACTTAATGATTGCTTGAAAACATGCAAAAACACAACTAAAAACCATCCCATGGATGTAACACCTGTGCTTTATTTTCTTTTTTTCCCAGCCATCTTAAGTGCCTAATTTTTCATGTTTTCAGTAGACCTTCCATATAAAATGTAAAAGCTGTGCTGGATCATTATCTGTTATATCATTATTACTAGAATAAAATTATCCCCTTCCCAAAATTTTAGAAAGGAATGAAATTACAGAATGTTTAAGCATGGATTCTAAAGTACGTAGCAAAGATTTTATTCATGAAGTTTTAATGCCTGAGTACAATCTGAATATGTTTCTGTGAAGGTTTTAATTGCAAGCCGATAACAAGGGAGTCTTTTATGGCAACAGTCATTCATTGGATCATGATCAGAAAGCAAAGGAATAGAATTCTGAAGAAGGGAGGCCAACTCCCTCATTGCTCATGTTCCCTCCGCTGCTTTCAGTATAATTATGACGTATTTCTGCATTCCAGAATTTAGGGGTGGGGGCAAAAATAATGGGGGAGGGAAGTTAAACCCTTTGGTAGTTTTGACTCACAAGAAATGTGTTCTTATTCAAAGAGAGGTCTGTCTCATTACTGTACAGAAACCAAACAATAACCATTCTCAGTGGCACTGAAATGAAATGTGGGCTGGACCAGCAAACGCAGTAGCAGATTTGTCCAGAGAAACATTGGGGGTTGTGTGTCTTGGTGGATAGATCCTGCTTGTTCCTTGGACAAACATGAAGATTTGCCTCTTTGCATTGAGCTGTGCATACTTTCACCGCAGGAATGTTTGAAAGCCCCTCATGTCACTGTGACCCTGTGGAATGAGGAGGGAGGGAATCCCATGTGCTTTATAAACAGGCCTGGAAGCACCACTCACCCTGCATCTGTCAGACTGGTATTAGTGTTTTACTGAACCAGCCATGCAGATTGATTATATTTTTCACTTTTGCGATTGGTGGTTGAGTAAAGAAAATATATTCTTAAATAAAGTGATTTACAGAGCACTGGTGATCTCAAGTGACTTAAATTTCATCTTCTTGTTGAGGCTTCCAAACCAGGAGGGATAATCTGATCTGTTATTCCAGTTTGATGGTAAGATAGTAAAACCCCAGTTGTCTAGCTTGCTAAACGTCTGTGGGAATTGTTAGCCTGATTGTGTTGGCCTGTGCTGGTAGAAACAGAATCATAGTACTGCTACTAAATGCCACTTGTAGCCTTGTGAATGTAATAATGGACAGGGTTTTTTTGTCAAGCAAATTTTCCATGTTCTTGTAGATAGATTTTTCTAAACTTACTTTCTTAAATGTGTTTAACTATCCTTGATCTCATCTGTCATTATCTAGAGTCAGAATTTCTTTTAAGCAGCATTGCATACCTGAGAATGAGAGAGTGGACAGTGGACCTTTTGCTTAAAGGTGGGGGATGCTACAGCCAGTGCCAGCTGTGGCCAATAAGGAGTTGGTCATTTTGCTCATTTGTTGCAGAGCCCTGGGGCTTGCAGTCGCTGAACAGCCTTTCATCCTTCTGACTTCAAAGTACCGCTGGGAACTTCACAGAAACAGGCCTTAGTTAGATCTGTAATTGAAACATATCTATTAGACTGACCTACCTCGTCTTTTCAAAGTATCTTGTTTGTGACTTTACAGCAAATGAATGCTGTTTGCAGGTAGAGCACGTTCTCCTGTAATTATTGCAGCTTTTTTTAGTTATGTATAAATGTGCATTCCTGAAATTCCATTTAAGATATGAATTAAAAGCTAGCTTATCTCCCATTACCTATATTTAAAGAATAATCAGGGCTTTTAGGGGTATGGAAATTAATTGTTTCATTATAAATTTGGCCTTAGCATTTTTGACCTGGCCTTCAGATTTTGTCTTCTTTATCCAGAGGAACTAAGAAAATTGTGATCAAAGAGCTAAAGCTACAGTTGGTCTAGAGGTTTGTGGTAGGGAAATATAAGGTAAATGCACTTGTGAGATTCCTAAAACTTCACACGTGTGCATGCATAGGTGTGTGAAATCCTCATTTCTTTGTGTTCTGTCATAACAATAGACGTTCTGGCAGTACAGCTGCTTCATTGATAAAGGATTTTCAGAGCTAGAAGCATTATCTACCTTAGTCTGAGTTAAAAATCCTATCAATAAGACTTCTTCTGTAATAGATTGGGAATGTCTGGTTATGAGGTGGTATGTCAGAGTGTTTGACCTGAGTCTGGTGGGGATGGGGACTCTACACAGCAGCTTATGTGGTGCTGTGCTTTGGATTCCTGACTAAAACACTCTTCCCCACAGAGACCTTCATATTTATGGCAAGTGGAACACACATGATGGCTAATGTTCAAGTAATGTGTTGCTAGGAGCAGCTGGCTGAATATTCCAAGGTGGAATATTCTGGTGGAAATACAGTGCTTCTATACAAGGTGATAAAAACGTAAGGCAACC